CAGGGCTTATTTCCTCTTCCAAAAGATATTTCCTTTTATTCTTTACTACCTGGTCTACGCTGGCTCTAGCTTTAAAAAAATGTTATCTTTTTTGTCCTTGATTCTGGTGTGGGCGGATCTTTAACGGGAACACTGTATCCCTCCCTGGCTCTAAGCTCTGCTCTCCTGCTTCCTTGCTCTGTCAAAGTCTAGACTGGATTGGCGGGGACCTCGATAGTACTGGCTGTGGAAAAGGCTTGCTCAGTGACATCACAAAGACATCCTGACATCACTGAAGTTGACAGAACACTGATGATGTCATCAAGGCACAGCAGCAGTCAGTAAGAAAGCTTTTATTTTCTTCCTTCATAGCAAGGAAAGGCTAGGGGAAACAAAGTTAATCTCTTCACAACTGGTCGAGTTTTCAATTCGGACTACTTGGCCCTGAGCCCGATAAATGTTAACTGGGAAATGTTAGGACTTAAAGCAGCACTGTCAGCGACTGGGGGCTTTGCAGAATTCGCAAAGATGGTGACATTGCTGCTGGGGGTCCAGTGCAAAGGTGAGTTCTACTTACCTGAACTTGTCCTTCGCGGGCATGGCCATCCTCCATAGATAGAGCCGCTGAGGAGATTGACATTTCTAGATGGCAGTAGCTCTGCCCAGTGTGTAGAAGCGTCAGGCTGAGGAAATTTACTTTGGAATTTCAGGGAAACTCCAACACAATCAATATGAGTATTTTATTAAGCTTCTATCTTTATGAAACACAAATTTTTCAAGGGGTTGGGGACATTGCTGTTTTAATACTTTGAGCTTTGTGCTTTTCTCCAGCTGTCTTCGCTCTAAACAACTTGCCCCAGGCCTAAGCCCATCATCCCTAACAAACCTCTGGTTTAAAAGCACCATTTCTTGCATCTTGGCACATGGTAAAGCCTAGAGAGCATCACAGTTCCCACTCCAAGCCTGACCACTACCTGCCAGGCCATGTTAAGACTATCCCATTCCACCCAGGCTTAAGCCTTCTCTCTTGCCCTGCCTAGTCTCAAAACCCATCCTACACCAGCACAGGCTTTAAAGCCACACCCCTGAGTCTGGGGAGGCAGGTAAGCCTAGGACACAGGCCGCTCTAATTCTGTCTGCCACCTGCCAAGCCAAGTTAAGCTGATGAGTTCTAGCAGAGTCTTAATAGTAGAGAAGATAGAACTGGGCACTGGTAGGCGGTCCAGGGCAGATTTTATTAGACAGGATACAATGCCCTATTTCCTTTACTATTGATCCTGTGATTATGGTCGCCTCTCGAGTAGAGGCACGGTGATTATTATTATTATTGGTATTTATATAGCGCCAACTAATTCCGCAGCGCTTTACAATATTACGAACAGGGTGTGAAATTTACAATAAATGGGACAATTACACAGGAACAATAGGTAGATGAGGACACTGCTCAAACAAGCCTACAGTCTCTTTTACTTGTGTCTACCCATCTCTCGTCTATGCTAACAGAGGCTTACGTTCCCTCTCCACTGGATCCAGACTCCTGTTCAATTGGCCAAGGGTTACAGAGTTTTTGATGAAATGCTGCTAAGGCATGTACTGCTGGGTCCCAACCTAATATTGTAATTTTAAATCAAGAAATTAAGGTAGGAACCCACAGAGCAAAAAAATTAAATAGAAAAAAAGGGTTCAGGAATACCTAAATCAATGTAATAAAAAAACAAATTCTTTACTTTCACAAACACACAAAAACATAAAAGTGTAAATGTGAACCAGGGCTTCTGTGTAACCCATCTCCTGGGTTTTCAAACGGAACGGATTAATTAAAGGGTACTACACGTAAGTAGCAATATTTTATTAGTTTTCAGAACATTATAAGAGCTTTTGATCAGCTGCCACAGTTACAAAATATAGCTTCAATCTGTATTGTTTATCCAACAGATTAAGACTCCCTGTAAAAAGTGAGACCCTAATAGGATATAGTAAAAAAAAAAAAAAGGCCAGTTAGTAGGTAAAGTCAAAGATTGAGACATAATGGATAGCTACAATGTTACTATAGTGAATCACTGCAAATCCTGCATGGTTAAAATACCCTAGGCCTAGACCACAATCACTCCACTCATATTAAATGGTTCGACCAGGCCCTTGCTTTTTAGCCATGTTGCTTTTTAGCAACCTCTCCTCCCACCCCACACCCCCGGTCAGTTCCGGACACATTTCGATCCATTAATGATCCTTACGCATGTTCTCCTATGGAAACCTTGCTACAATTTCCTCTGGGTGGTTGATTTTCTTCTTGGCACTCCACCAACATAGAAACATAGAATGTGATGGCAGATAAGAACCGTTTGGCCCATCTATTCTTCCTAAATGACCCTGATGGTATGACATGAGGACCTCACTGAACCATCCAATTTGTAGTAGCAACAGGTGGTGTGTACAAAGAGATGGTACTTAATCAAACCCTCACTTACTGGGAATTTCTTATTGCAAACCCAAATCACAAGCAGGGTTCAGCAGGTTCACCACACCAGGGCTCTGCTGGGGCCAGAGCAAGCTCAGTTGCCAAAGGAACAGGTCTCTCTCCATGGATTTGGGAGTTCCCTCAGGATTCTGGGGATGGGCCCATGGATGTGCAATAGAGGACATGCATGTTTTCATTAGGGGTATATATACTAAATCACGATTTTGTTTTCCCCACCCCAACAAGGTTTTCCTTTAAAATAAGAGACTGAAGACAGCCATAACCCATTCATTGGAATGATACAAGACACCTGCAGAAACCATGTTCCATACTTTGTGGCTGCCATCTTCTCCGCCACAAAGGATGTAACATGGTTCCTGCAGGTGTCTTGTGTCATCCCATGTAACATGGTTCCAAAGGATGTAACGGATGATTGAATGGGGCAGAAATTATCTTCAGCTACTAACATGGGCTTTATTAAGTAAACATGAAACTGAAATGAGCAGACAAACAACTTGCTAATTTTAGGTCAAAACCGCAGTGTTAGAGAAAACAGAGTTAAAGATTGTTTTAGGTTATTTTGGCCACAAATCCACACTTTCTTTATGAAATCTCCCACATTTTTATTTTAGTGAATAACCCCCTGTATTTTAACATATACACTTGTGGGTGAGTTTGTGACCTCAACGTACGGTATAAATTGGTATTCCTACCTGGAGTGGGCTGTGTCATCCGTATGTTTTATGAGAGCAGAGTCCCTTAAATCGCATCCAATATATATATATTTTTTTTTTTAGATTACATCGGGAACAATGTTGAGACATTAGTGTGCTGTTAGTGTCTATTATCCTGTGGTCAGTTAAGGGCCTGCAGCAATAAAAGAGCTAATTTTCTTACTCAATTTCTGGGATAACAAGTTTGAACATTTATGAAGAGCTGTGAAGTTTCATATCAAGTGCTAATGAGTTTTATATGAAGTGCTAATGAATAAAAATGAATTTCCAATCACTAGTTCAATACACACACTTGACAAAGCGGTATTCCACATTCTGCTTGCTATTCAGGATCGTTTGCAATCAAACCAGACTAATCTAAGGAGGAACCCTCAACATTATTACATCCCATTCCCACATGACAAATTATTTAAATCAGTCTAAACTATTATTCACAGTGACACATTTACTCTGAACTTCAGCTCCCATGATGCTATAAGACTTGAGGACCACCGATTGGTTTTGCCGGTTGTATGCGTTCAACACTAGGTTGTGTGAGAACTGCAACTATGGATTAGCAGTAACGGCATACATAGAAGTGCAACAGAATGTATGATTATATAGTATATATAAATCCCTTACATTACTGGGACACTAGAGTCACCAAAACAACTTTAGTTTAATGGAGCAGTTTTGGTGTTTAGATCATGCCCCTCCAATCCCACTGTGCAATTCTCTGCCATTTAGCAGTAGATACAAACTTTTAAAGTTTTATTTTTATATCAAATGTTTTTTATTTTGTTGTGAATAGAACAGAAAAGAGAAAAGATAGTCATGTTGTCAGGAGACACACAGGTCTCTAAAGCATTAGGAAGCATTTGGTCATGCAAGGATATTAACATCAGAGAGAAATGCCAATAATTGCGTAAGGGAGTCATAAGAATCAGACACACACACACACACACACACACACACTAACAGACAAACACAAAGTAAGTTAAAGGAGCACTAGAACACAAACATGTATTCCTGACCCTACAGGGTTAAAACCACCATCTATCCCCCTGTCCCCCTCATGCCTCAATAAATATAGTAAATCTTACTTGTATTCAAGTCTGGAGCTGCTGGCTCTGTCCCTGGTTCCTTTAGACCTGCCCACTGCCTGCTGACATCATCAGAAGTGGTAGCCTGATCCAATCACAATGCTTTCCCATAGGACTGGCTGAGACTGACAAAGAGGCAGAGGGCAGAGCCAGCACAATTCAAACACAGCCCTGGCCAATCAGCATCTCCTCATAGAGATGAATTGAATCAATGAATCTCTATGAGGTAAAATTCAGTGTCTGCATGCAGAGGGAGGAGACACTGAATGTCTGGATGCATTTAGGCAGCCATGACCCAGGAAGGGCAGCCATGACCCAAGAAGCTATCTATGGAGTGGCCAGTGAGGTTATCACTAGGCTGTAATGTAAACACTGAATTTTCTCTGAAAAGACAGTGTTTACAGCAAAAAGCCTGAAGGGAATGATTCTATTCACCAGAACAAATTCAATAAGCTGTAGTTGTTCTAGTGAAACCATGGTTTCCCATGCAGGGTGTGTCAGTCACAGCCACGGGAGGTGTGGCCAGGGCTGCATCAACAGAATCCAAAGCGATTTAACTCCTAAATGACAGTGAATTGAGCAGCAAAATGTCAGAGGCATGACAGGTGCATAGTCACCATATGGGCAGGGGGGGGGGATATATGACTTGAACCCAGCCCACCCAATCAGACACTGACACGTAGGGTTATGGGTTAAATTGTCCACAGCTTTAATAATAATAATAATATAACAATCTATATATATATAGGGTCATTACCTGCCACGCCCCCAATCTCGTATCATTTTCACATATTTACATCAAGATAATGACCCACCACATAATACATTTCCAATATACAACCATCATATAACATAACATATAACATATCAACATTGATCCATTTCACCTGGTAGGGGTATACCCAGATACCCCTACACCCAGTGGTGTATCCTGGTTTTGTGCTGTTCCTAGGGGAAAAACTACAAAGGGAGGGAGGGACCAACTCTTCGAGGAAGAAATTAGAGAGAGGGATCATAAAATGGCTGACTATATCAGCCAACCCCCAAGCACTGTTCTACCAATCCCCTGCTGCTACCACCCCCAAGCCCGCCTCCTAGCCTTGTCAGGGCCCTATCCCCTAAGCTGTGATTTCTCCATGGGCTTCATGACCTATACGCAAAAACTGCTTCATTAAACTTAAGTTGTTTTGGTGACAGTATGTTAACACTAACAAAGTAGCAGTGTCTGCAATGTCTTGACAGTGTTGAATCTAAGAACTTCCACTCTATGCCACTCACTTCACTAAATATATCCCTGGCCACTTTGCCAACGTGTATTTTAAGTAAAGTACAGTAACAGTACTGATGTGCTTAAGCAATCTTAGGATATTAGTATCTTAGTATACTGCAGATCCTTATTTGTGTCACATAACAGCCTTATGTAACAGCAGTGTATTATAATCTATTATAAAACTAGGTAAGTGTATATCTGGGGTCTAGAATTTTTCAGTGCCATTTAAATGTGCCAAAATGGATGACCATAATATATATTGGAACCTAACCTTAAATGCTATCCCAACACTTAATTCTATACTTTGTTCTAACACTATTTCTAAATATCACCCCTAGCACTATGTATCACCCAAAACAAAAACTGTTTAATGACAGTTTAATGAAAGAAAAAAAAAAACACATGTAAAAATATGAGTGAAATAAAAGGTACACCTGTTTTTGTTGTGCTGAGAAGGACCTACCTCAGATGGTCCTACCACCAGTTGTACGCTGGATACCAATTCAGGCAGACATATTTGTTTACATTTTATTACCATAGAAGTTGAACTACTACAATAGCAGGTGATCAAAGACACAACACCAATTAAATAGAACAATGCACAGTCTCTCTTAAAAATCATGAATTATTAAAAAAAATTCCCATCTATTCAAAAAGAAAACATACTGAAAGTGTCTTTTTGGAGAGATCTAAGCGAGATGTCTTTGGGTAACCTCCATGCAGCACCACGTTATTTGTAAATTCCAAAGTTCTTTACAATGAGTTTACCCTTTGTGTCTAGTTTATTTGTCACTGTAACTACTGTAATTTTGTTTAAAAAGTCTTTGAGAGAGGATTATAGCTTTTCTGCCCTCCTGTGCGCTATGTACTGCTGATGTTACGAGGAGATTTAAACCCTGTAATTCGCAGCAGAAGCCGAGAGTCTTATATCTGACGGCAGCCTCCTGAGAGGTCAGGGCAGGGAGGAGAAAACAACATTTTGTTTAAATATCTCATTGGTTTGAGCTGCTTTCCAGCTGGGATGTTGACTGAAGAGGAATGAAGCTGTGATTACAGAGAAACTAGACTCTCAGGAACACAAAAAATTTACTAAAGTTTCACATTGTGGTAAAACATTAAGAAAAACAAGTACAATTTCTGGTACTTAGTGAATACACTTATCTTTATAGGCAATGATTAAAGATGTTTTCAGTTACACTATATAATTTAGAAACAGTACGTTTGAGAAGGGTATTATAAAGGTCGCCGAGTTCCAGAGGATGACTCAACGCTTTGTGTACGTTGTCACCCTACTGACATGCCAAGCTATTTTATCAGGAACCGCCATAAAATGCCACCAAAACACATTTTCTCTGACTTATTAACTTATCTTGAATACCAAGGTGGACATTTTTATAAATGACAGATGATAACCTATTCTATAAAGGGGGCTGGGGCCTGACTGCCGAGCAAGCAGGTTGAAAGAGCTCCTCAACTTAAATTTTACATTAAGCCTAACATTCAACATATTGTGCTATTTTGAGGCTGTTGGTTGTCTACTATAGCAGGGAGAACATTCTGTATAATCCTGGACTGAGTTTTTCCAGTTTTACCGGTTGTTCTGATACAGTATTTACTGCGGTCTGCTGGCTATCCCCGGGTGGGAAAAACAGCCAATTCCCTACCTTGGTTCAGCATCAACATTTATTAGAATTCGACCGACCCCCTTTGGACTTATGGGGGTTATCCAGGTCCGTGCTATTCCACAAGAATATGCTGATCATTACACTTCACAGCCTGCACCAGGTTGAGTTTCTCAAAATGGCAAACACAAACAAGCGTGCTTCACAGTGTCCTGTGACACTGCGCCCTGACCTGGCAAGCTCATTTGTTCAAGTATTTGATCAGTTCTGTGCTCACGTTTGGGTGAGGCTTGCTCAGAGAGATCTCAACCATTCACATGAAGCTGTGTGTGTTACCAGCCGCCTGATCTTACCCAATGCCACTTAGCTTAGCTGGGAGCAATCACGGAATAATTCCATGAGAATAGTCCACAACTTGGTCTTTCAGCCAAGTTTACGAACACTAAGTAAGATTACTCAGTATGTGTAAATAAGGGAGTTTAACATCTCCCTCCTGCCCCTGCTCGCTATGCCGCCAGAAGGGGCATGTCTACTGGAGGTGGGGGAGTAGTCAATTAATTAACTAAATATTAACCCCTTAGTGACCAGACCGTTTTTTCAATTTGTTTTATGTGGCCTTTTTTGGGCCTGAAAAAAGAAGATTTTAGAAAATAGAAGACATCTAATCGTAAGTATGATTTTTAAAAATGTTTAGGTCATAAGCTTATTGCTCCCACAGGGGCACCTAGGGGCGTTTGGGGGTGACTAGGGAGACAATTGTATTGGAGTCGGGAGGGGGCTTTAAAAAAAAAATGGATGTGGCCATGACAATGCTGCTCTAATGAATAGTCTGATAATATGTAGTCACAAGCCTGCAATTATTTGTATTGCCTTTCCTATTAATTTCCTTAAGGAGGACAAAACCCCCCCAAAAAAACGGATGGTTGGTGGGTGTGTGTGTGTGTGTGTGTGTGTGAGTGAGTGAGTGAGTGAGTGAGTGAGAGAGAGAGAGATATATACAGATAGAAATTATATATATATATATATATATATATATAGCAATTATAGATAAAAGATTGAGAGGCGGATAGGCACATAAACAGTCAGAGATATAGATTGAGAGATGCATGGATCAATAAACTAGATAGATAGATAGATAGAAATAGAGAGATTGATTGATAGATAGATGATAGATACATAGATTGATAGATAGATAATGTTACATAGCTGAAAAGAGACTTGCGTCCATCAAGTTCAGCCTTCCTCACATTTGTTTTTTGCTGTTGATCCAAAAGAAGGCAAAAAAAAAACAGTTTGAAGCACAATTTTGCAACAAGCTAGGAAAAAAAATCCTTCTTGACCCCAGAATGGCAGTCAGATTTAGAGAAATGTGACTATTTCTTTAAAAGTATAACTAATATAGACATTGTGTAGTGCTAGCGCCCATAATACATATTTTGGTTATTTCCTCCGTTTGGCCAGATAATGCCTTAAAGGACGCTGTTTGGTTTGTGAAGTTGCACACCTTGTGTAGGGAAAGATGGTAAACAATACAAACAAATAGTCAGAAAGCTTTAGGCATTTGCTCCTGCGCGTCCCGCACTGCCCAGCAACAGAGGCTGCACATGTCCCCGAGTTTAGAAGCAAACGTTCTCTTTACATCATCAATAACAGTCACAGAGCCAGGGGAACAGCCACGTCCGTGTGCCAACAAAAATCTCTTCCCATCTCTGGTATCCAGGAATATCCAATTAGAATTAATGAAACAGAAGGGGCCTGTATTTGTACAGAAGAATAAAATGCAATTAGCAAAATGCCGATTAGCAGAAAAGAATAAAAAAAACAAAAAAAGTAGGGTTTGTTTTCTCCACTTTTCTTTGTATTTTTTTTTCCCATTAATTAACGAAGTGTATTCGTTCTACAAATTATCCTCCTCTGCCAGCTTTTCTACCAATATGCGACAGTAAATGCGGGTATAAGTTTCAGGTACGATGATTTTGTTTCTGTCAATTTTAAAATATTAGAATAATAATAGGGACAGATCTCTCACGGTTTGTCAAAGAAATAGCTAGCGATATATAAATATTTTTGTGCCACTAACTCACTACAAATTCAATAGAATAAATGGTTTAGGAGAATCTCTCGTGTGCTTTCGGGAATGTCAGCTGTTAGAAATGTATTTTTTTTTTTTGAGAGTATCTTTAGATAGAATTGTCATTTTTGATGTGAGAGTGATTTTTTAGAACACTTACAGATAAATACAATGGAAGGCTGTGGGATTAATTAACTGAGCAGTTTCTCACATTGAAATGACAACCAAATTGCAACAAAACTTATGCCTTAATAACGAAGTGTAAAATCTTATGCACAGTGCATGTGTGAGTATTGGAATAAAGTGGTATATGCGTGGAGTATATGTAAGTGTGTATGTGAATACAGGTGTATATGAAGTGTCAGTATGCATGTTAGAATGCAGGACTGTTTTTGTGTGGCATTACAATGATTGTGTAAGTGCAGGAGTGTTTGCGTATTGTGTCACTGTGTGTGTGAACTGTCAGAATATGTGTGTGTGAACTAAGAGTATTTTTTCTATATATCAAAGTGTGTGAATACAAGGGTTAATATGTGTACAGTGTCTCGAGTATGTAAATATAGGGTAGTGTTTGTGTGGAATTTTACCAAAGGAATCACTAGCTTTGTGTGGACTTTCAGTGAGCGAGTGCATGCAGTATTTGATTCAGGGGTGTATTTGTAGCTCTTTGGAGGAAAATCAGGTGGTAACACAGGTTGTGTTCATCATAGGTTTCCCTCTCTCATGCAACCTAGAATTATTACAGCAGGCACTTAGCAACTGCCCAAATAAAAATGTTTTAAAAATAAAACTGTTTAGTAGATATACTCCCAATGAAAACTTACTTGCATTTAATTATGCATTTTTTTAATAGGCATATAACCAAAAATAGCTTGCAAAAGCTGCAGATGTCTTGTCTGCAGCCTTTGCAAGCCTCCTCCCCTTCTAACTCCACCCAGACCTTTTGTGACTGTCCAATCACAGATTTCCCAATGCAGCTCAATGAGAAGTCTTTACAAGGCAGGTGCTCTGGGCAATTGCTGCCTCTTGAATTTATCTCCACTGAGCTAAGCAAACCAGGAATTAACAGGACCTGCTGTCTGATTGAAAGCCAGGGGGGTGTAACCAGGTAAAATCATAAAAGTGTCAATTTCTATACGACAATTCACCATGACGTCACAACAATAATAAACGTTCTTCTGGGTGGCAAAAGCCAATGCGTTCTCCGATGGCACCACTAGTATACAATTTACATGTACTGAACTAACACAGTGAAGAGCACTCATTTACATATTTAAACACGATTCAGAGACACCTAGCCTTCCTCTGCAAGAATTCGATGTTTGTTTTATCCTTTGTGTTGATTCAAGCAAAATCGAAACAGCTGGTAGCACTTGTGATTAACAAGCTGTCTAAAAAGTTAACTGTAATATTTGGGCTATATTTCAGAAAGGGCATAACAAAATATCAAATGAAAAATATATAAAAAAATAAAATAAACTGATCTGATTTAACCCCTTTTGTGCCAGCAGATAATTAATTAAAACACAACTTCGGTATTTAGAGGGTTAATCTTTTCAATAAAGGCTTGATTCCTGATTTAAATGAATCTGAGACTTTAAAATACATAATACTTAGCCTTTTCTTATTAGTTTCTGGTAATTTTTCCCTTAGACCAGACAAAATCTGAAAATCACCCCTCCATACCCATAGAATCTGCCCTTTCACCCTCCATGTCCTGTGATATCCCAGGTGTATAAACCGACATACCTGCACGGCAAATTAATGAATTCAGAAGACTGATGTAAGTAGCAAATTTCCTTTAAATCCCCATTTTCTTTGGAATGGAAGAGGTTAAAATCCCACACAGTCAGTACTGTATAACCTCCATACCATTGCTTTCCAATCACACCAACAATGGGTTAATAAATGCATTTCACCCCATCTCCTGAGGATTTAACCCCTCAGGGGCCAGAGACCAGCAGCTCTCCCAAGCCCTCTAGCTGCCATTGGGGATGGGGGGGATTTAACCCTTGCAGTGCTATTTAAATCCCTGAGCCAAGCACAAATCAAATAAACTTTTCCATAGCAGCAAGGAGACAGAAAGCACCTCAGAACTGTACTTACAGAGATCCACAGGGGGGACCCCCATAAACAGGACCAGGAAGGGTTCCAGAAGTTTTAAGGGCAGAGTGGGCTCCCAGGCATAGCAATGGCCAGGGATGGGTCTCCAGGCAGGGAGTCTGACAATAGTAGCGGATGCTGGGTATACTGGGGGTGTTCCCTGGCCAGACCGGCTGGATCTGTTCAGGTCAGTGGAAGCCGCTCGCGTTCTGCCACCTGGAAGTATCTTGGCGCCTATTGTTTACAAACATTCTGAAATGCCGTATTGAAATCTGCACTTTGTCTAAAACGAAAAAGAAACAAAGTGGACACACTCTTCACACATAAAGCACTTCAGCAAGCTGGGTCTGGAGGGTACCTTCAAATATTGCTCATTGGCACGTTTATCTTTTACCTACATATTTCTTTCTTTCAGTGATACTCAGGTAGAATGCCATTCGCTTACACATGCTACCGATACACAAATCGTAAACACTACCACTGGCAGCATTGCAAACCTGTTATCTTCTTTATTCGTTCCACAACCCTTACATGTTCTCCTCACAAGACTTGCTCGAGCAAGGAGGGGGCACACTGTAGGCAGAGACATGAAGTATCTGCCGTCGTTAGAAGTCCGTATGCTATGTGCGTTCCTGGCAACATCTGTTTGCCATCTTATGGTTTGGATAAAAGCTTTAATGTTCCCATTCACCACTCACCCAGCATTAGAGCTGCAGCGGGTAATTGATAATAAGAGAGCTGTCCAAGTACAGGAAGTTGCTGGCGTGCATAATACAATATACAATAATAGTAATACAAAGCGCACTGTTACGGTTTTACCAATCCCTAAGCCAGTGTCTCTTAAAGGACCACTCCGCACCCCAATAGCACTTCAGCTTGCTTTATGGGTGTGGAGTATCCCAGTTTAACCCCAGTTTATAAAAGTCACGATTTCTATGCAGTTTATAAGATCTGCAGCCTTTGCAAGGTCTCTTATGATATAACCCCCCCACTGAACATGAAAAATGAATGCATGTATTTATTGGGGGTAAATCTACAAAACAGCGATTTTTTTTTTTCATTTGGGCAGTGGAGTGTTCCTTTAATCCCTGGGTCGGGATAACATTGTGTAGTAAATTTTTGGATTACACTGCATCCATTTAGCAACATAACATATCCATGTAATAACAGCCATATGGCCACATTACATATCTATATAGTACCATCACATATACTGCATACGCATAGCCACATTACATATGTGTACAGCTACATTCATATAACTAAATTACATATCCATATAGCCACATCACATATACATGCGTGAATCCACATTATTTTACCCACATAGCCAGAATATTCAGTGTTTACTACTGTAAAACTAAGCTCCACTATAGAAAACTTACTGGGATATGTCTTTAAGATACAAAGTACAGTGGGACCTCGGTTTACGAATTTTCAGTGTTTACTACTGTAAAACTAAGCTCCACTATAGAAAACTTACTGGGATATGTCTTTAAGATACAAAGTACAGTGGGACCTCGGTTTACGAATTTAATGTGTTCTCCGGGACTTTTCTTATTGAGAAAAATCTGTAAACCGAAACGTGGTTTCCCATTGGAAACCAATTAATCCGTTCTGGAGGTCAGAAAAAAAGTCAAAATGAGCTGGCATGGAAACCAAGTCACAATGCAGAACACACAATAAAAGGCATGCAAACGACAAAGCTCAGCTCCCTACCGTTCCACAACTTGAGAAATGCACCAAAAAGTCCCAAAACAACTGCAAACAATTTCCAGAATGGCTCCAAAACTCAATGCAAAAGCTGCTCCAACACCTCCACACTCTACGCCACGTGCTACCCACAGGCTCCAGCATGCAGCGAGCGGTGCTATAAACCTCCCAGGTGCAATGCATCCTGGGGAAACTTGCTTTGTTTTGCGAAATTTTTTTGTAAACCGAGGCATTATTTTCAATGGATTTTCATTTGTAAACCGAAAATTATGTTAACCGAGGCGTTTGTAAACCCAGGTCCCTCTGTATACAGATGTTCATAGGTGTGTTTGTGTAACTAAAATACTTAGATTTTTGTTCTAAATTACTTTTTTCACTTAAGTTAAATGGTCAGTAAGTAGGTTATAGATTCCCCGGCCCCCCGCAATGAATGCAGTGTGTGTTAGTGTAATGAATGCAGTGTGTGTGTCAGTGCAATGAATGCAGTGTGTGTGTCAATGCAATGAATGCAGACTGTGTGTCAGTGCAATGAATGCAGACTGTGTTATTATAATGAATGCAGAGTGTGAGTTAGTGCAATGAATGCAGTGTGTGTGTCAGTGTAATGAATGCAGAGTGTGTGTCAGTATAGTGGATGCAGTGTGTGTGTCAGTGTAGTGAATGCAGTGTGTGTGTCAGTGTAGTGGATGCAGTGTGTGTGTATTAGTGTAATGAATGCAGTGTGTGTGTGTTAGTGTAATGAATGAAGTGTGTGTTAGTGTTGTGGATGCAGTGGGTGTGTTAGTGCAGTGAAAGCAGTGTGTGTTAGTGCAGTGGATGCAGTGTGTGTGTTAGTGTAGTGGATTCAGTGTGTGTTAGTGTAGTGAATGCAGTGTGTGTATTAATGTAGTGGATGCAGTGTGTGTGTTAGTGTAATTAATGCAGTGTGTGTGTCAGTGTAGTGAATGCAGAGTGTGTGTTAGTGCAGTGAATGCAGAGTGTGTGTTAGTGCAGTGGATGCAGTGTGTGTGTTAGTGTAATGAATGCAGACTGTGTGTCAGTGTAATGAATGCAGACTGTGTGTCAGTGCAATGAATGCAGACTGTGTTATTATAATGAATGCAGAGTGTGTGTTAGTGCAATTAATGCAGTGTGTGTGTTAGTGTAGTGAATGCAGAGTGTGTGTCAGTGTAATGAATGCAGAGTGTGTGTCAGTGTGGTGGATGCAGTGTGTGTGTCAGTGTAGTGAATGCAGTGTGTGTGTCAGTGTAGTGGATGCAGTGTGTGTGTCAGTGTTGTGAATGCAGTGTGTGTCAGTGTAGTGGATGCAGTGTGTGTGTCAGTGTAGTGGATGCAGTGTGTGTGTTAGTGTAATTAAAGCAGTGTGTTTTAGTGTAATGAATGCAGTGTGTGTGTTAGTGTTGTGAATGCAGTGTGTGTGTTAGTGTAGTGGATGCAGTGTGTGTTAGTGCAGTGGATGCAGTGTGTGTGTTAGTGTAGTGAATGCAGTGTGTGTGTTAATGTAGTGGATGCAGTGTGTGTGTCAGTCTAGTGAATGAGAGTGTGTGTTAGTGCAGTGAATGCAGTGTGTGTGTTAGTGTAGTGAATGCAGTGTGAGTGTGTGTTAGTGTAGTGGATGCAGTGTGTGTGTTAGTGCAGTGAATACAGTGTGTGTGTTAGTGTAGTGAATGCAGTGTGTGTGTGTTTAGTAGTGTATGCATGTAAATGTAATAACTGTTATTCCCCCCTCCCTGTTTCTTACCTGGTTCAGGGAGGGGGTAGATTCCATGATCCCTGGTGGTCCGGTGGCATTGTGGGGCCCCCCGGCTCCCTATACTTGCAGAGGGGGCCCAGCGGACTGCAGCTGTACTTTACAGCATTTCCCTTGCTCTCACTCCCGCGAGATGTGGTGTGCGCGCCGCGTTGCCATGGTAACCCATGGCAACGCTCTAACGGCCACACGTCTTGCGGGAGTGAGAGCGAGGGAAATGCTGTAAAGTACAGCTGCAGTCCGCTGGGCCCTCACTGCAAGTATAGGGAGCCTGGGGGGCCTGCGGCTGCACCTATATATAGTGATCATTGCTATATATAGGTGCAGAGAGTAATTGTGGGGCCCTGGACTGCCAAAGCAGTCCGGGCCCCCCAGGACAGACGGGCCTGTGACAACCATTATGGTTGTCACCCCCTGATGGCGGCCCTGCCTGCACAGCACCCTGCTGTCTGAGATTTGGGCAGCAACTGGTACTGGCTGTCAGAGGGCTGTGCACTCATGTGAGTTACTGTGCTCTTCAAGTGAAGTGCATCTCCTCAGGATTTCATCATTATATGGATTACACTTACTGCATGAGAAGCACCATTGTTCCTGGAGATCCCAGCAGCAGGTAATAAAAGGTAGAATTTTCTATTTGCAGTCTGACCTCTCCACCAGGTGGTTGTCTCCAGGGGCCACTTGATCTAGGGAAGGCAGCTTGGGGAGGTCTGAGCTCTGGGCTAGGGAGGAGCTGTTGTTGACGTCTCCCCTCCCCGGGGTGTTTTTGCCCCTTAGGGTATATATGCATGACTGCGTTGATGTGAGTGTCTGAAAAGTCAGAACTGGTTACTAAAAATTTTGAATCCCACTACTGCCTCGTCCTGCATTTTATAACCTTTCGGCAGATTTCTGGACACTATTGGCCCCTTTTGATGGGCAGACTTGCCCGCCTGCTCTTATTTACTCCATGACCACCTCTGTCAAGGTGGGCTGGTAATCACCTAAAATAACCCAGAATAGAGCCATCCTTGGCCACAACACTAGTCATATCCCTGAAACAGAAATGTATTTTGCTGTCCATTGGCCATGTTTGAAAGTATGACATTAAAAAAATACAAAAAACGGGAGCAGAGCCTGGCTGTGGAGCTGATCAGTCGTGTGTAATATGAGCTCCAGCCTGAAATCCCTGTTTAAGCGAAATAAACTTGGTTCTCATGCTACAATCTCATCCCAAAAGCCAATATTAACACTGCGGAGGACCACCCACAAGCCTTCTTCCCCCCCCCCCCAAAATCCCGGCAACAGCAGCACACCCTCCGCTGACTCACACATCCCAGGGACTACAAGCTCCTAGAGTCACCAACCCCAAAATGGCTGATGCAACGAGCAAGCCGGAAAACAGGGGGGACTGCTAGGGAGCAGCTGAATAACACACTTTTCAAGCTGGACGCTACCCTTGCTGCCTTCAGGGCCGGGATCTCGGAGAGGGCGCTGACCACAGCTAACGTCAAGCGGTCTAATCCTGCGCCACTACCTGCGGCACCCAAAGGGCGGACACAGACCAACAGTCACTAGAAGTCCCTTCAAAAGGCACCGAAGAAGGGATCGGAGACACAAACGGACACGCAAAGCCTGCCTCAAGACAAGCACCCACCTCAAGCCGCGTCAAAACCGCACCGTATATATGGCGCCCAGCCCACAGGGACGGTGCCGACCACCAGACGGAACAAACTTCCCCACCATAAGCCGGTAACCTGGCGCTTCGTCGGACACTTGCCTCTGATGTTCTGTGTGATGGAGGCCCCCGGGCTATGTACCAGGCGCCCAGAAGGGATCGGATAAGCACAAGCAGGAGTGCGGAGTCTGCCAGGCATGTCTTGCTATAAATAGACTTCCACATTACTGCTCTCCACAAGCTAGCTATTCATAAAGTAACAATTGGTTTAAAAATGCTGTTTTTTCACCTCCCGAAGAGTCTATAACCATGGTCCCTCATACATATATCTACTATATTTACTATACCCGCTTATGTATCTTGTTATTGACCAGTCTTGTCTAATGGGACACCTTCAGTTTGAATTAACACTAGCGGTAGGGCTGCTGACATGTCGTAACAGTTGATAACGTGCAAATCACACCACAGCTGTCGTTCTTAATAATGCAATGCCTTAGACATACAAACCCCAGCGCAGCAGCGCTACTAGCCATGTTAAATGCACGTTCAGTCTAGCATGCTACACTATACTACCTTTATGTTTGACTGCCTATATTCCTCATGTTATATATAAAAAAATGTGCTGTCTAAACTGCAAAATGTTATGAAAATGCGTGCAGAAGCTGTCGTGGCTCTGCGCGCTTGTTGTGAATCTGAGCACATGAAAAATAAAGAATTTAAAAAAAAAACATCCTCTCTCTCTCTCTCTCTTTGCTTACTTTAGAGAAAATAGATGTTCTTCTCGCATTTTTGTACTGGAAAGGAAAAGTTCTGATGTCTCTACACAAAATGTTATAGATTTAGAAATTCCACAGACTTCTGAAGTTATATGCATATTACATATTCCACCCCTCATTTGTTATTTAACAATTTATTTGATTTTGTGCCCACTATTTTTACACAAACTGCATACAAAATTGTGTCACATATTAAAAAAAAATAAAATAAAAAAATCATTAATTTCTTCATTTATAGCCTTTTGACATACAGCACAGTGCAAATAAAGCCATTGATGTAAGATGGTGACATGGGAATTGCTTTAAAAAAAATGTTTCAATATTCTAAACTTTGCTACATAAAACACAATGAGAATCACTACAATGAATTCTGGGTTATGACATGTTAATAGCTTTTACCAAAGGTTTTGACAACCCTAATTTTATTCTTCAACCACCTTCTTCAACCACGTTAATATTCAGGAGACAGAAGTACTGCATTGCATTCAGAGTAATGACACGTTAATGGCTTTTACTAAATTTCTTAAATATTGCACATTTTATTGTTCTTCACAAAGTTTATTACTCTACAACTCCCTGGCATCCAGCAGTGACAAGCCACAGTAAATTCTGGGTAGTGACATGGAAATGGCTTTTACAAAACACAACAAGCAAAATGTTGTCGTCTCGAGAACCCGAGCAAAGGTGGGTTTATTTATGTGTGCAATATGTTAAAGTATTTAAAAAAAAAAAAATAATAATTTTTTTTTGAACGTGCATCTTAAAATAACACCCGGGCTCAAAAGTGGAACATCTGAGTCTGCAAATTCACAGAACGACTGGTCCCATGATACGAGTCGACGATGAATCACTATGTCTCATGAAACTTTTATATTTCCAGAACGCGTTACATTGAAACTGCTCTGTTATAATAAATATTCCAATGAAGAATCCTAAATAAAACAATTGGGTGATAAATAAAACAGAAGTTCTTCATGTGTGAGCAAATTTGATTTATATCTGCAGTGGAGCTTAATTGGGGAGGGGGAAGATATTATAGCGGTGACCTCTACATCACCTCTTTTAGTAGCAGAGGATTAATTCTGTTCGTTTGCAAGTTGGTAGATTTTAATTTGATTCAGTCTCGAAGTTCTAATAATGAACAGGAGTCTGCAGGTTGAATCGCTGCTAAGACCTAAAGAATTTGTTCAATAAAACATGAGTCATAAGGGGAAGAATGAATTTATTTTCTCACGCAAGAGTGATTGGTCTTTTTTTGGACAATTAATGAAGGTACAAGAACTTCGAAGTACAAATTGTAGAAACCTCTTGGGTTGTTTCATCACCCACATCCACCTTGTATTTAATAGAGCAACACATATAATTGATCTTTTACAGACATAGAGATGTTTGGGAAATGTCCTGCATTTATTCATTGAACAGTGAGTTGTAGAAACTTGACAATCAATTTTCATTTTTAGGTCCAGGCCAAAAAGGCAGAATCGGAAAAATGAATTTTTTCAATTCCAATTTCTTTATTTCAATTCCAATTTTTTTGTTAGTTTTGAAATTGCCTGTAAGGACACTGCATTTGTTTTTCTAATTCAAGAATGGTGTAGGAATACCAAGGGGAATGAAAATGTCTGAGTGAAATTTTTCTAGTGTGGACACTTTAGCCGAATATCTGCAATTTCCTTTCTCAACAAGTCACAAAATCACCTGACCACCCAGATTTCTCGTACATGTCAATGAATATCACTTTGAAGAATTTGTAAGTGCTCTAGAAATAATCAATTAAATAACCGAAGAAACTGAAGGGGGGAATTATTAAACCTAAACATTCCTGGCAGATAGATCAATTGCTAGAACCCAGAAGTCCAGGTGTGGAATACCTTCCCAAAGACTTTCTTCTGGTCGCTCAAAGAGTTGGATCTTCTTCCAGAGTATTTATTTAAAAGTAACTATGCCCTTTAAACAGTGATCAAGAAGCACAAAAACGTATTTGTGACATTTAAAATGGGTATGATTACTCTATGATTAATCTAACAGCACCTTAAATTATATTTATCTTGCAACTTTGAAGGAAAGCTTTCACTTTTTGGCGACCATGGTATCAATGTCTATCAGTGTTGCTTCAGAATTCAAACAATGGTCCCTTCTTTTGTTTTCCCACTATTTTCTACTCAGCTCCTGTCCATTTTTCAAAGACTTCTCTCATTTTTCATTTTGTTCAGCTTTCTCTCCTTTTGTTTTCCTTAATTTCTTGCTGTATTTTATCCGTTTTGCCAAGTGTTTTGGAAACATGCATATGTGGGACCACTTACCCGTGTCACTGGCTTCTCAAGGCTTGGGGTACCTACTCTGAGGCTGCTGGTGTGCACGATTCTCTATGGCGCCACAGGTTGATATTAGTACACTTGGCATCTTTTAATGATGTCCCGTAGCTCAGTAACGTAGGCTACTTGTTTTCTTGTGTTGTATCTGTGCTCTAGCATTGGTCCATCCAATCGGTCTATATCGACAAAATATTCTGCTGCCCCTGTGTTTATAGTTTAGCCTGCAAGCCAACTATCCTTTGGACCCTTCCTGTGTTTCTGCTTTCTGAATATCCAATCTGGATTTATAATATAGATTACAAGTCTTTGCTTCCCTGCCTTCATCGTCCAACCACACTTGACCACAATTCTTCAAGCCCTTTTGACCTTAAAACTTTAGACTCTTCAGGTTCATTAAGGAAATTAAATGTGTACCTTTTTAGGAAGTACTCCTATCGGTCTCCAGGTTTAATCTCAGCCAATAGAGGGTCTCCTAAGTCTGACATAAAGCCCATACAATAATAGAGGTGTGGACATGTCTTATATCAGCAGCATTAAGGTGAAATATTTTACTGACAATTAATGAATTGTAGAAAGTTATATTTGTAGACCTGAATCAACCCATACCTTAATATTCAGTACTAGATGCAGTCATTTCATTAGAAGTAAATATGACATTTCCAGGATGTCTTCTTAATTATACCGGTAAATGTCTGACTCGAGTCCCTACACATGCCTGTGACTCACACTATCCTAGGAACAGATTACAGTCAATGAACACTTGTCTTTAATGACTAACACATCAAGCTTTATTGACAGAAAATTATGTGATTGTTGTAATTTAATGTGAATTCCTTAGACGTGGTGGGAGGAAGCACTGAATGCATATTAGTTTCATTCAGGATTTGCCTTGGTGTGAAACTAGTGGAATACGGCCTATTTACATACCAATCCCTGTTTCTCAGTAATCCCAGAGAATGATAATTGGATGGAAAATAGCACCTGGTCTGTTTGTCTTTTCTGTAGAATTTATGTGTGCTGTATTGCATTCGTTGTTATTTATAATACCGCAATAGTTTTTCATCTGTCCAATTATATACTGATTTCTTGTTTTAACAGTAAAAAGCATAATTGTGATAGCTTTGGAACGACAGAAAATGAATCAAGGTGATGCTTTTATTCTGAGCATAATTACAGTTCCGCCACTTAGGTGTCCATTCAGGCATGGTATTCTTTATTTGTTTCCTGTAGTCCAGGACAAGAACTTTTGTGATTGACAATAGCAGAGAATTTGATTCTCATGGTGTGGGCTGTAAAGCTCTTTAATACACAGTTTGGGGATGCCATTATAGTAGGGGTAGATCCAGAGATTAACTACTACCTCCATTGATCTTTTCCAATATTTCTGCTAGCAGAGAAGTGTCATTATCTGGGCAGCTACCATTGCTCATCACTGTAGTAGGAGGATTCCATCGTGAACAAAACTCAAGGATGACAAAATCTGTATCCTATCAAGGCATAAGCATAGTAAATTTCTAAATGAATAGATATCTAATATTTACTAGAAGAACTGGTCTGCCAGAACAAGGAGCTACAAGAACTCTGTGACCTTCTCCTAATTACCTGCCACAAGGCAGGTGTGCCCAGTTCATACTGATAGCATCTTTATAGTTTATCTTCTGTAAAAGAATTTAGCACCTTGGCAAAAAAAGGCAAAAAAACAAAGCACCTAATAGACTAGCACACTATGTAGAAAAATAGCAGCATTATAAGTCTGATATAACGGTTCCTTTAAGAGAGAATTGTTTTTTTTTAACCCATTAAAGGGTCACTATAAGCAGCTCAGTTTACTTGTTATGTTGCCAAAACTTCCACTGCATTGTCTTTTTGAATTTTTAATAAATCATGTAAGTGCACTCCCCTAGTTGGCAGCATTGACATTGCCAAATTTACACTTTGGCATTCTAAATGTCAACACAATCACCCCCTGGGTTCTCAACCTATCGCTGTTGGGCATTTTCCGAATTATAAATCAAACACAGGATGGGAAGGTCTCCAGAATCAGTGGAGAGTCCTGTATTTTGTCAAATCATTCCGAGACTATATGAAACAAAATATTTGTACTTGAATTACACACTGTTAACAACACAGACAACATAGCTACTACACTGACCAGTTCCTTTAAGCAAAAATACCAGTACGTTGTTTCCTACATGAATACATTCAGAGTGCTTTAGTCACTTTGTAGCCAAGTGGAAAACAGTATTGGTGGAGTATCAGAATAAACTATGCAGGGCATTATAAGTTTTGTAGTCCAACTGGATACTGGCTACAACTAGGGATGCAACGAAACGAAAATTTTGGGCCGAAACCAAAAAATGACTTTTTTTTCCCCAAAAAGATTTTTTAAAAGATTTTTTCCTATGATTTTATTAATATTAGACATTTTAATGAATTTAATTAATCTGATATAAAAAACTTCCCTTCTCTCTTCTCTTTTAGTGATCCCCCCCCCTTAATGTTCCTCTCTTCCCCCTCTAGTGTTCCTCTCCCCTTCCTCTTTTTTAGTGTTCTTTCCCCCCTCCTCCCCAGTTCCATAGTGTCCCCCCTGTCCCATTGTGTTATTTTCTCCCATCCCCTGTCCTAGTGTTCTAACCCCCCCTTGTCCTATAGTGTTCTTCCCCCATCCTATAGTGTTCTCCCCCACTCCTGTCCGGTAGTATTCTTTACTCCCTCCCTTGTCCCATAGTGTTCTTTTCTCCCCCCTCCCCTGTCCTATAGTGTTCTTTCCCACCCTTGTCCCAGTGTTCTTTTCTCTCCCCCTCCCCTGTCCCATAGTGTTCTTCCCCCCCGTCCCAAGTGCAGTATTCTTGACTTTTCATGTTATCATTACTATTTTTCACTGTGATTTATAATCTTCTGAATTGTTAATGCAAGAATGTATGTTAAACTATGCACTACAAAATTATTTAATTTCAGCAAATTTGACCTGTTTTCGGCCAAAACGGGATAGGCCCATTTTCGGCCGAAAAATCGGTGCCTCTTTAGCTACAACCATACTTTCCAAAGTGCCTCAAATATATTGAATGAAGGACGGAGACCTAGATAAATGGAGAAGGAGCAGCCATAAATAAATAAAATTTGTATTTATCACATTTATTCTTTTATTCAGAACTAAGCGATAAATAACCCCTTCCTCCCCCCCCCACCATGAGCGAGGAGACAGTGACTTGGGACCGCACTGCATCATGGCTTATGCAACAAACAGTTATTATGCTGTTCGATTGGTCATTTAATTAAAAACTACATCGAGCACTAACCAAAGAATATGCAAAGGTTCCTGTTATTTAACTTCACACAGGATCCAAAGCCACCACACAGAAGAGACAATTAGTTAAATGCCATCCCCAAAGTCATGACTTCCAGGCGAGAACATCGATTGACCCCCTCACAGCACAAGGAGGCTGAAAAAACACAAATCTTAATTTCATGGGCAATTTAGTTCAACGATAAAAACCAGGACTAGCATGAAATCTTCCAAGCACATTGAACATAAACAGAAAAAAATATATATACTTTTTATTATTATTATTCATCACACAGAAGTGGTGTGATGGGATTTCAACATGGTTCAAAATTTAGTAAGCCTGAAATCTCCATGTGGCATATACAAGTACAGGTGTTTGTTGTATCTGTTAGTTAGTTACATGTAGCTAAGATACTGTCATCAATGTACTGAGCATGTGCATCAACTGTATTCACATTCCTTTGTCCTTAAAATGAGTCATAAGGTCTGCCCATATTAGGTGATCCTGAATATCCTGTTTACTGATTGGTCTAAGGGTATGTGTGAGTGGAGCTATGAATGAGAGGAGTTATTGTTAATAAATAGCCTGTTCAAACTATGCTCTGGGCTCATACCTTTTGAACACAAGTTCAGTGTGAGACCCGATCGGTGTGTAAATAAAAGACCTGTTACTTCCTAAAGACTTGTGTCCATATCTCAATGTGTGGCTTCTGCGGTTTGTTTCTGTTATTCCTCCGGTAACAGTGGCTCCAACCCCTGTCAAGGGGAGTGAATTTTACACCAGCCAAAAGGGGTGGTTTATACGCCAGCAAGATGGAGTGGCTTAGGCGCCAGCTGGGCGAGAGGCTTATACTCCTCTCTGCCCTAAAAATGACATGATGTTTTGCCATGTGCTTACTCACTAGTTACCAGACTAATCTTTATGGAGACCATTAAATGTTACACCTTAATGGGACACTATAGTGTCAGGAATACAAACGTGTACAGGTTTAAAATAGCCATTTAGGTCAACACCATCCTTACCCCCATTTTTCCCAGCGCCAAGTGGGTCTCCTCGCTGCTGGCCCTACCCTGGATCCGACTCGTGAGAGTTGATGATCTCAGCCAATCCAATGCATTGTGAGGCTATTGCGCATGTGTGACAAAAAAAAGTTTGTCAAGGTTAGATAAACTAAGCACAAAAAAATATCAGTAGAACAAGCATTGAATATCGCGGCTCTCCATATAGTTAACACCAGACCAAGTCACTCTCTGCAGACCTATCAGCAGTGGCGTACTAAGGGGGGGGCGGGGGGGCCGGTCCGCCCCGGGTGCCACCAGGGTGGGGGGTGCCATGACCAGGGGCGCCCCCCCCCCATGCTGCAGCCGCCCGAGCGCTCTGTAGAGAGCCTCAGGCGGCTGCAGCTTTGCCCGGGCGGTGCGTCCATGAGGGCGGACTGCACCGCCCGGGCGCAGCGCTCCCTCCTGTCAGCCCCTCTCTGTAGCGTGGCCGAGCTCTCTGTAGCGTGGCCGAGCCCTGCAGCATTGATGGTCCGCGGGTA